CCCACCAAATATTTAATCCAAGGTTTAGGTGCAGTGTGTTTTGAATAGCATCACATAGATACGAAGTTAAACAGTGTTGGTAAAGGCTTCTGGCTCTGAGTATACAGTCCCTGCAACACGTAACACATTTTGTCAGCTCAAATTGGGACTATTCTAGCCCACCGAAAAGCTGGAATCATTTCTTCTAAAACCAAGATGCCAAGGAACTCAGGAATCTTTGTTTATCTAGAGGGGAGGATGTATAGATACTAAGATGCACAGCCTGTGACCCACAAACACATCTACAGAGATCAAATCTACAAGTTTATTTCCTCAGTTTTCACTCAATAGGCTACCTAGACCACTATCCTTCCTGCACCCTAAGTACCAAAATAATTTTGTCAAACAATGTGATTTATAAACCTCTCATTTCTCTTTCAGGGGTTCAGTGCATCAGAATTTTGTGGATTTCACCTTTGCAACTGGCAAAATAATTGGATACATGTTCACTTTAAAAGGAGATATCGATTCAAATGTAGCAATTGATCTTAGCAACAAAGCTTCATTAGCATTCTTACAAAAGCATTTAGGTAAGAAACTAAGAGTGTTTCATGACACAAACCAGGTGCTTCTTAAGACAAAACTGTTTTATTGCAGTGTGAGTCCCATTTTAACTGTCTCCAGTTGGTTTACAATGTCCCAGAACAGTAAATCAGTTTGAAGAAAGAAACTTGAGAGATTGAGTTTTGCTGCTTCTCATGCTACATATCACAGATAGGAAGTCTACCTGTTAATTTATCTTTGAGGCAGAGCATGAGCAGGGGACAGGCAGAGAGAGAGAAAGAGAATCTGAAGCAGGCTCCAGGCTCTGAGCTGTCAGCACAGAGCTCAACGTGGGGCTCAAACCCACAAACCGTGGGACCGTGACCTGAGCTGAAGCCAGACACTTAAGGGACTGAGCCACCCAGGCGCCCTGGAAGTCTGGCTTGTTAAAGGGAATCATGTCATCTTTCTGTGCAGACTGGTGGCCGTTTGTGGTGTAATTTGTGAGGCTGTCCTGCCACCTAGAGGCACTGAGCTGTCTCGTACTCTCCAAAGCTTCATATTCTTGTTAACATTTTTCTCTTCCAGGACTGCAGAAAGATTTCGATCAGTGGGATTCTTTAATTGAAGGAGAAGATGATAATCTTATTCCAGGGACCAACATTGACACAACCAACCAGCATGTCACTCTACAGAACTCTGCAGGAAGAGAGAAATAGAATTTAGATCAAGAGCACTTTTTAAAAAGCTGTCTAAAAGTGTGTGTATGTGTGTGATTTTAATGTTTTTTTTTCTCAAATAACTCTATTGTAAAATGTAGACTATATCATAACAGTGATTGAAGCTTGTACTGGAATTTTTTTCTTTAAATGTAAAGAACGACTGCTATGTATAACAATCATAC